TCTTTGTTCATTTTCCCGGTTTCACATATATATATGAAGTAACTAAAAATTCCATGGCTTGGGGCTGGCACACTTTTGACTTTAAAGTGTCATTCTTGCTCTTTAACACCTTAATGATGTCCTTGGCCTTGTCCTTGGGAGTAGATTTTCCCAGATATAAAGAAATCTTTTGGTTTCTTGACTGCTGCAACCATTGAGTGTTGGTTGTGGATCCAAATAAAATTTAGTCTTTGACCACTTCAGTCTTCTCTCCATCTGTTGGCCCAGTAGGGAGGACTTTTGTCTCCCTGCTGTGAAGGTGGAATATTCTTACAGTTATAGCTTGGCGCTTTTGAGTTTGCTTTCATTTTCTTCAGCTTCAACTTGAACTTACATATGAGTAATTGCTGGCCTGTTCCACAGATGACCGCTGGCCTTATTCTGACTGATGATATGAGCCTCTCCACTATCTCTTTCCACATATGTAGTTTATTTGCTTCCTGTGAGTTCCATGAGGTAGGATCCATGCATGTGTATATTGTTATTGTTGTTATGTGTCATTGAGTGCTTGCAACTCATAGCAACCCCTATGTACAAGAGCCCCAAACCCTGCTCTATCCTGTGCCAACCTTATTGTCTCTGACACACCTCCTCCCACTACCCCTGTCACTGAATTGGTTTTCCTCTCTTGAGCTGTCCCTCCACCCTCCAAAACATGATGTCCCTTTCCAAGGACCTGCCTGCAACATGTCCAAAGTATGTCAGACAAAGTTTTGTAATCCTTGTCTCCAAGGAGCAGCCCAATTTCATCCTCTCCAGGATGAATCTGTTTGTTCTCCTAGAAGTCCAGTTCAACACTCCAGCACCACAGCTCAATTATCTTTCTTTTTCTTTTTTCTTTTTATTGTGTGTACTGTCAAATTAGATTTGACAGGTACAGGAGGAGGTTGTCCCCCCCTTCTCCAGCCGAGCATCTGGTGGATTCGAACCGCTCACCTCTGGGATTGCAGTGCATCTTCTTGCCACTAGGCCACCAGAGCTCGCCATCAATTCTCTTTCTATCATCCCTAGTCATTGTCCAGCTCTCTGATGCACAGCACACATTTGCGAAGACTATGGCCTGGATCAGGTGCACCTTAGTCTCCATCCTGACATTGTTGCTCTTCAGTACTCTGAGAGGTCCCCGACAGCAGACTTTCCCAATGCAATTTATCTCTTGATTTCCTCACTGCTGATTCCACGAGTGTTGATTGGAGAGCCAAGCAAACCAAAACTGTTAACAATCTTAATCTCTTCACCATCCATACCGATCCTGACAATTGGCCCAGTGGTAAGAATCTTTGCTTTCTTGATGTTGAGCTTCAAGCAGTACTTGACCTTCTGCAGCAAGCGTTTCGGGTCCTCCTCAGTTTCAGCAAGCAGGGTTGTGTCATCTGCATAACGCAGGTTGTTGACGAATCTTCCTCCAATCCTGATGTCACATTCCTCCTCATACAGCCCAATGTCCTGGATGATCTGTTTTGCATACAGATTGAAAAGGTATGGAGACAGAATACATCCCTGGCAGACGCCCTTCCTGATTTTGAACCAGGCAGTGTCTCCTTCCTCTGTTCTGATGAGACTGCCTCTTCGTTCAAGTATAGGTTTCGCTTAAGCACAATCAAATGTTCTGGGGTTCCCATTCTTCTCAGAGTCAGCCACAGTTTGTTGTGATCCACACAGTCAAATGCCTTTGCATAGTCAATGAAACACAGATATTCCTCTGATACTGTCTACTTTCAGCCAAGATCCATCATTAGATATAATATCCCTAGTACCGTGGCCTCATCTAAACCCAGCCTGTGCATCTGGAAGTTCTCTGTTGACGTGTTGCTCCAGTCGTTTTTGGATAAGTTTTCTGCAGAATCTTGCTTGCATGTGATATTAATGATAATTCGATAATTTCCACATTCTGTGGGGTCACCTTTCTTTGGAATGGGAACAAATATTGATCTCTTCCAGTCAGTTGGCCAGATGGTTATCTTCCAGATTTCTTGGCACAACTTAGTGAGCACATCCAAGGCAGCGTCTGTTTGTTGATATATGTCAATTGGTATACCATCCACTCCTGGGGTCTTGTTTTTTGCTAATTCTTTCAGAGCAGCTTGAACGTCCTCCTTCATCACCACAGGCTCTTACTTACACATTGTTTCATTAAATTCTTCTGTGTCAGTCAATTCCTTCTGGTACTATGACTCTGTGTACTCTTTCCATCTTTTTTTAATGCTTTTTGGATCATTTAACATTCTGCCCAAAGCATCCTTAAGTATTGCAACTTGAAGCTTGAATTTGTTCTTCAGTTCCTTCAGCTTAAGAAATGCTGAGCGAGTTTGGCCCTTTTGATTTTCTGACTCCAGCTCTTTGCATATTTCATTATAATACCTTGCTTTTTCTTCCCTAACTCCCCTTTGAAATTTTCTGTTCACCTCTATAATTTCTTGATTTCTTCCTTTGGCTTTGGCTTCTTGGCGCTCTAACGCAATACTCAAAGTCTCATCTAACATCCAGCTCAGTCTTTTCTTCCTTTTCTGCCTTTTTAATGACCTTTTGCATTCTTCATGGACAATATTCTTGATATCCATTTAATTTTTTACAAATATTTATATTGAATAAGTTGTTGAACATACAAAATTCTGACATGTAACCTCATTTCTATCATGAAGATAGAAATGTTTTCTGACTACTGATCCTTCTTTTTTGTTTCCAGACTTTGTTTTCCAAGCACTGGTTATTATTTATGCATCTTGCTTGCATGTTCGCCAATTTTATACTGCAGAAGTTGATAGAAATCTTCAGTTTCTTCATTTTTTACTTTAATGCTCAGTGTGTAAATTTGAATAATAGTTGTATTAACAGGCCTTCATTTTACATATATGGGTATTATGCCGTCACTGACAGCATCGTCCTTCATGAAAGACCCTGAAATGTTCTTTTTGATGATGAATTCTTTACTGTTAGGTGACTTGATGTCTGAATTTAGGATATTGGCTCTAAGACTCTAAGGGAAGACTTTCTTTTTCTGTTGGAAGGGTGTCTTGCCTCTTACGAGCTTCTTCTGGACCTCTACATGTGGTTTAGCATCTCTTACCTCGTCAGTGCTCATTTCTACTGCTTGTTTAATCCCTTTTGTATCTCAGAAGAGATTAACTCAAGATACATTAATCCGGTTTCATTAACCTAAGACAATCCATCCTCAAATAGATTATAACCACAGGCATAAAAATCAAGATTTACAACATATATTTTGGGGGCAAGGGGCCCCAATTCTGTCTCTAATAGTGTATGTGTCTCCTGGTCTATCTGTGCACATCTGTCTGTGGGGACATATCTGATAATCTATTGCTGGGTGACACAGAGCACAGATCTTCAACTTTATGATTCTGGAAAATACTTTTTTGAACTGACCATAGCAGTTTACTCTCCTATCAGCTGTGATTAAGAGGCCTTGGGTGGTTTCCAGAGTAGTAATGACTAGCAATTAAATAGAGCACTTAGTTTTGTTTTGGTTCCTTATAGAGTTCATATACATTCTTTTTCACACCGTATCTTTGCCCTTATGGATGACATTCTTGATATTGTCCCAGAGTGCTTCTGGTCCACCATCATTGGTGTTCAATGTTTCAAGTCTGTTCTTGAGATGGTTTTTAAATTTAGGCGAGATAGACTTAGACTCGAGGTCATGTGTTGGTTCTGGAGGACATGTTTTAATGTTATTCATCTTCAGTTTGAACTTGCACATGAGTAATTGATGGTTTGTTCCATACTCAACATCTGGCCTACTTTTGACTGCTGATATTGAACTGAAAACCACATTTTAAAAACCCAACAAGTTCAAGTGTTGCATTGCAGTACTGAGAGATACTATGGACAAAATCATAAGTGATTCAGGAAGCATCAAAAGAAGATGCAAGGAATACACAGAGTCACTGTACCAAAAAGAATTAGCTGACACTGAAAAATTTCAGAAAGTACCATATGAAAATGAGCCAATGGTAATGAAGGAAGAAGTTCAAACTGCACTGAAGGCACTGGCAAAAATAAGGCTCCGGAAATTCACGGGAGGATGATTGACCATGTGTCGGCTAACAGATTCAGCCCTGGCTGTGCTCACTAGCCTATGCCAGGAAGTTTGGAGGACAGCTGCTTGGACGACTGACTCAAAAGAGTTTCCATTCCCGAGAAAGGTGATACAACAGAATGTGGAAATCATTGAATAGTAATCATTAATACCACATGCAAGCAAAATATTGCTAAAGTTCATTGATAAACGGGTAGAACAATAAATAGACAGGGAACTGCCAGAAGTTCATGTGGGGTCTAAACGAGGCCTTTCCCTATAACTGTGTGCTGGCCACTACCACAATTTTTCCTTGTGGTCCACTAGTAGTGGGTTTACTACAGTCGTCTGGGTTCAGAGGCCCACGGCATAATCACTCTTTGAGATGTTAGTGCTTGCTGAAAGTGACTGTTGAATGTAGAGGCAGATTGGGGCCGGAGGAGGAAGATTCTTGGGTGACACCCAAGCCAGACTGTGTGGCAAGGGGCGCTGTCACTGGCTCTCACTGGAGCAGCAGCCTCCAATATCTGGGGTTTAGGCTCCAAGGAAGCCCACTTCTGCTCTGTGTTATGGATTTTTCCCAGTCCTGACATTTCCCGAGAGTTAGCTAGCCATATGATAGTGGAAAAGTGCAATTTTGGCTCAGGACTGACCTGAAGACTTGAGTGGTGTCTTCAAATGAAGATCAGGACACGGGTCCTGGGACTGGCTCTGCAGGCGCTGGTCGTGGAATCCAGATTGATTCTTTAGCTTCTTCTGGCCTTAATTTCCTAAGATGAATATGCAGAGATGTAGCCAAAGGCAGCTAAATCCTATTTTCTAAGACACATTTAACTGAAAAAACGAAAGACATCCAAGGGATTAAAAACACCAGACACAAGAAGTGAGCCTTTTCAGTGGCACAGGGCTCATGAACAATTCTAAGTTGTCAGAAGCAAAAGTGGGCTGTGGATCCAAGAAATACTACTTGGAGTAATAGTGATTCCAAGTTTGGCCATAAAATGCTGGAGAAGATGGAGTGGTCTAAAGGAAAGGCCTTAGAAGCTCAGAAGAAAAAAGCCACGGATCATATAAAAGTTCAAGTAAAAAATAACCACCTGGGACTTGGAGCTACAGTCAATGATGAAGACAACTGCACTGTTCATCAAGATGATTTTAACCAGATTCTGGCTGAATTGAACACTTGCTATGACCAGGAAACATGAGACTCCTCAGACAATAAAGCGAAGAAATCTTTTATCCTTGAAAAAAAGCCTGAAGTTTTAAAAAAATTTTTATTATATGAAATTTACAAAAGGGAAAGACCTGTCATCTCTGAGCGAAACAGATCTTGATTGCATTTTTGGGAAAAGACAGAATAAGAAGACTCTTGAGGATGACCCTAGCACTACTCCTCCAGAAGAGAATGGAAGTTCAACTGGTAGCAGGTCAACCATCCAAGAGGATGGCAGAGCTGAAGAACAAGCAACAACAGATCCTCACCTTTCAGATACCCAAACTGAATGGAAAAGGGAAAAGACAAGAGAAAAAAAAAATGGAGACTAAGACGCAGCTCAAGATCAAGCGGCCCAAGAAGGCAAAGCCTCGAGAATAGGTTGATCACCCTGAGTGTGCAGCCAGAGAAGAGATCAAGGGGCACAGCAGCCCAGGGAGCCCTCCTGTGACAAGAATTCTGAAGTTCCTGCCAAGAATAGGGAGGGTCGTGTGGAGCAGCCGCCATTCGACCAGGACTTTACCCCAAAGCCCGAAGAAAAGAGAGGAAAAAGTTCAAAAAAGCAAGTAGAGGCAGTGGTGTGCCCTATGCCAGTGAAAAAGAAGAAAAGTTCCCAATAAATTCTACCCAGCTAGGGCCTTCCAACCACTCACACGGCTCAGCGGGCATCAGGGCAAAAAATTGTTGGTCTGAAGCCAGAGCAGAGTTAGTTTAAGATCATTTGTTCACATCTTTTAACATGCCCACGGTTTGCAGGAGTCTCACCCTCCTACCACGGGCTTCCCAAATGATATTCCCAGAAGAACTTTTTTTAAAATGGTCGAAGTCATAATTCTCTTCAGCAAGTAAATTTGTACTTAGAATCTGGGGCCAGGGGAGATGAGGCTGTGGCACTAGGGATATCATTTCTGATACCAGATGGATCTTGGCTGAAAGTAGGGAATACCAGAAGAATGTCTATTTGTGCTTTTGACTGTGTGGGTCATAACAAACTCTGGCTAACATTGAGAAGAATGGGAATCCCAGAGCCCTTAATTATGTTCATATGAAGTCGGAAATCTATACCTACAATTTATACCTAGAAGCTGTTGTCTGAATGGAACAAGGGAACACGGCATGGTTTAAAATCAGAAAGGATATGTGTCATGGCTGTGTCCTTTCTCCATACCTATTCCGTTTGTACGTTGAGCAAATTGTGAACTTGATTTATATTAAGAGGAATGTGGCATCAATTTGGAGGAAGACTCATCAACAACCTGTTGTTATTCAGATGACACAACCTTGCTTGCTGAAAGTGAGGAGGATTTGAAACGCTTGCTGTGGAAATCAAGGACTACAGCCTTCAATATGGATTATGTCTTAATATCAAGAAAACAAAGATCCTCACCACTGGACCAATAGGCCCAGCGATAGATGAAGAAAAGATTGAAATTGTCTTTGATTTCATCTTACTTCAATAAAAAAAAAAATCAACACCCTTGATACTAGCAGTCAGGAGATCAGGAGACGTATTGCACTGAGAAAGTCTGTTTCCGAGACCTCTCCAAAGTACTGAAGAGGAGTAGTATCCATTTGAAGACGAAGGTGTGCCTGATTCAGAGCATGGTCTTTTAAATAATTCGCTATACATTCGAGAGCTAGACAACGAAGAAGTATGATAGAGGGAGAATTGAGCTGCTGAGTTGCAGTGCTGGAGAAGAGCACTGAACATCCCATGGACGGCCAAAAGAGCAGCTACGTCTTGAAGAAGGTGCAGCCAGAGTGCTCCTTGGAGGGAAAGATGAGAAAGCTTCATCTCACAGACTTTGGGCCTGTTGTTAGGAGAGGCTAGTCCTTGGAGATGAACTTCATGCTTAGAAATGTGAAGGGTCAGTGAAAGAGAGGAAGACCTTCAATGACATGCAGCAGTGGGCTCAAGTGTGGCAAAGATGATGAAGATGGCACAGGGCTCAGGTCTGTTCTTCACAGGGTGGCTAGGAATCATACCTGACACGAAGGCACTGCACGACAGCAGCTCTGACGTGTGTTCCTGTGTAGTCCATCAAGTGAGATCTATGTGTGTAGTGGCCATTATGTATTTTTTGAAAGTGTTTTTTCATTGTTGCACATTTTCTTCAGCCCCCACCCCCTCCTTAGCTCTCCCCGCAATGTCCCCATTGTTCCAGATCATTGTCGTGCATATAATGCCTAATCATATATTCCTTTTAGACAGTTCTTCCCCTCCTCCGATCTATTGCAGTGTTATTTATCTATCCACTCTTTTTTTTTATCCTCTCTCCAATCCCCCCCCACATCTGTCCTATTTTATGACAGAAGAAGAATCCATGCCTTCGAGTTGTGATGCTGAAGAAGAGTCTTGAACATACCACGGATCGCCAAGGAAACAAACAGGTCTGTCTTACAGAGGATTAAACCAAGTTTCTCCTTGGAGGCATGGATTTTGAAGCTCCGTCTCTCATACTTTGGGCACGTTGCCAGGGGAGACCGGTCCTTGGAGAAGGACATCATGCTTGGAAGGGTGGAGGGACAGCGCAAAAGAGAAAGACCCAGATGATGAGATGGATTGATAGAGTTACTGGGGCAATGGGGGTTGGTGTGTCGGAATTAGTGAGACTGACTCAGGACAGGGCAGGCTTCAGAGGTGCTGTACATAGGGGTCACTATGGGTTACAAGCGACTCTCAATAGCACATAACATAACAACAATGTTATGCAGTAATTGTCCCATTTATATTTCTTGAAGTATTTGCAGTGAATAAATTATTGATTGTACAAAAGTAGATCATTCAATCTCCAGCATTATTTCTTTAATCAAGGTAATATTTTTCCCAACTACTATTCCTTCTTCTTTTTTCCTGCTTGTGCATTCAAGACACCAGTTATTAATGTATCTTGATTGCCTGTTCCATCAACTTCAGTCTGTAAAAGTTGGTAGAGATCCTCAATATCTTCATATTTGGCTTTCATGGCTGGTGTGTATATTTGAATAATGTTGTTATATACCATCTAGTCAGAGTGACCCTGTGTACAAAAGCCCCATACCCTGTTCTATCCTAAACCAACCTCATTGTCTCTGACATACCTACCCCCATTACCCCAGTCACTGAATCAGTCCATCTCTTTGAGGGTCTTCCCCTCCTGTGCTGCCCCTCCACGCTCCCAAGCATGATATCCCTCTCCAAGGACTGGTCCCTTCTTGCAACATGTCCAAAGTATGTCAGACAAAGCTTCAGAATCCTTGCCTCCAAGGATTTTGTATTCTTTGAATAATAGTTGTTATATTAGCAGACCTTCCTTTTATGTGTATGGGTATTACTGAGTCACAGCTTTGTACTTCAGGATAGATCTAGAAATACTTTTCTGACAGTGAGTGAAACACCATTCTGCTTCAGTTTTTTACTTTGACATAGTTATTCTTACAATAGAGTGGAACATTCTATTGTCATAATGAAATGAATCTCTCAAATTGACATTGCGATCAATCTTTTGTTGCTGGAGTCACAGTCGACTCCACAGCACCTAACAACAACAACAACAGTGTCTCTGATCTCCCAGTGCAATAGAGCCAGCCAAATTGCTTAGGGTGAATTCTATACCTGGTAGCAACAGTTTATGAAGTGAGACCTCAAACTGAGGAGCCAGGAAAACAGGGAGGAGGTCCAGAAGGCAGCGAGGCAGGCATAGAAGGCGACTTCTCTGGCAGCCAGAGTGAGGTGTGCCCTGGATTGCATGGGCCAGGGGCCAGGGACATGAGAATCGGCCCCACCTGCCTCTGTCTGCCTGGGACCTGACCTGAATGTGTCAGTCTTGACTGTGATTCCTGAGTGTGCACGTGTATGTGTCCTCTTCCCGTCCATTTGTAACTTGGAAAAGTACTCATTTGACAATTTCTTGTTTCCACTTCAGGAAGAACACGTGAAGAACCATCATCCACCTTCCCCCTCTACAGTTCCCTCGGGCAAGTCCCTGTCATTCAGTGATGAGGGCCCCAGTGGCCGTTCCACCCTCTCCGACAAGAAGCTGTCTCACCACCTACAGGACACCATCAAGCATCGCATCTTCTACCTCTCAGAGCAGCTGCGGGTGGAGCAGGTCAAGAAGGATAAGAACACCATGGGCTACCTCTCCCTGGTGTCCACGGCAGACCAGCACAAGGCCGCACACATTCGACAGGCCTTCGAGAAGGTGAACCAGCGCACCTCTGCGAACATCGCCCACATAGAAAGGAAGCTCCGCCGCTGTTACCAGCAGCTCCAAGAGCTGGAGGAGACTGGCCAGCCTAAGGCCGTAGTGGTGAAAGCTGAACGCACCCTGGGCAGTTGTGAACAGCCAAGCGACCGGGCCCCTCCGTCCTTAGAGACCCCCAAATCAGGGGGACAGGATCACCTAGCCCCTAGGCTCATCACTTCAAGAAAGTTTCTGAAGACAAAACTGGCAGCCCTGAAGGATGAGCTCCGGGAGGTCAAAAGCCTGCACCTCCACCTCCAGGAGTCCTGCGCGAGCCTCAAGGAGCGGCACTGGGCAGACCTGCAGGTGACGATGGAGGCCTGGCAGGAGAAGAGGAGCAGGTGAGGCCGCCTCTTCCCCAGGGCGCCAGGCAGGGAGAGGGGGTGGGAACCAGGGATCTGAGGGGGTGACCTTCCTCTCATGCCCTCACACCTTCTGAAATGCTTTGTGGGGGCCAAGGCCAGGCTAGTCCTGGTGACCTGGTGGGTGTGGGGGACTTCACAGTGACATGAGGCAGTCCTAGTGGCGTGGAGCCTTCCTCCCCTCCTGGTCAGTTTGGCCACTGTGATTGCACTCAGTAATATGTGGCCACGCAGCCCAGTCCAATCTGTTTTCACCTGACTTAGAGCTAAGTTGGGGCACAAGCTCGAGGATCCAGCATATGTTCCTAGAATTCCTGCCTCCATTGTGCAGAGGACCGATCGAATTTGGGTACGTGCCATTGAGGAGAGAAGTCAACCCACAGGCTGTGAAGGGACTGCAGGGGGGCCCAGGATCTTGTGAGGATGCTAAGCTGGGAAGCAACCTTGCGAAGGATGGCAGTGCCCACTTCTGTGAGGGGGGCGCTCTAGTGATCTCGTCAGCACGCCCATTCACACATGCATGAGTGAGGGGCTTGCTTTCTCCTGTTCTTTTTCTTGTTCTTTCTCTTCACGCTGCTTGTAAAACCAAAATGGGAAATTCCTGCTTTGTACTGGGCCTCACATTCTTTTGAGATCTCGTCAAGATTGTAGGTTTCTTTGGGAGCTGATTTTCTCATGTACGTTTCCAGGTTAGGTTTATATAAGCAAGAACATGACCCTCCTTGTACGTTTCCACAGCGCACAGAGTCACGCTTGGGGAAGTATGCATGGGAAGGTTCTCTGTTTATTGTTTGGTCTTAAAAATGTTTTAATTTTTGCTTTTTATTGTGATTTGAGTGAAAGTTTACAGAGCAAATTGATTTTCCAATCGGCAGTTGATGTATGTGATGTTTCATGGCATTGACTCTAATTCCCGTATCATCCTAGCCCCTCGCCTCCTCCCCCCACTCCTTCTATCCCATCCCATCCCATCCCATCGCATCCCATCCCATCCCATCCCATCACATCACATCCCATCACATCCCTTCATGCTTTGAGAGTTTCTTCCTGGGTGCATGCTGCCCTTTGAACTTGCATGATTCATAGGTGTGTCTACTGTCTGACTGGAAGTTGAGTCAAAGGAATGATTTCGTTAACAGGCTAGGGGCCATAGAAAGCTCTGGGTCAAAGGAATGATTTCGTTAACAGGCTACGGGCCATAGAAAGCTCTGGTGGTCCAGTAGTAAGGAGCTGTGCTGCCGATCCAAAGACAGGAAGTTCAGATCCACCAACTGCTCTGCAGGAGAAAGATAGGCAGTCACCTCCCATGTGATTTTCTGCCTCTGAAAACCCACTGGAGGGTCAGCTATGAGTTGGTTCCCACTTAATGGTACATGGCAACAACAACAACAAAGGCTTTAGTCTCAGATTCTATAAGACCCACAAACTTGGTCTTCTTGTTGATTTTGGGGTTTTGTCCCTATTTTTCTCCCACTCTATCAGGGACCATCTATGGTGATCCCTCTTAGAATAGTCAGCAATTGTCAGGCTCCATTGAGTGGTGTGTGTGTGTGTGTGTGTGTGTGTGTGTGTGTGTGTGTGTATACCGTCAAATTAGATCTGACTGGTGCAGGAGGAGGTTGTCCCTCCCTTCTCCAGCAGGGCATCTGGTGGATTCGAAGTGCTCACTTCTGGGATTGCAGTGCAGCTTCTTGCCATTAGGCCACCAGAACTCGCCTCCATCGAGTTCTGCTCTTGGGTGTCCCAGTTAATCCTTTAGTTTGATAGTCTTTTCTTTTCCTGCCCTCTCTTCTGCTCCAGATGGGGACAGATCAATCGTTGCACCTTCCATGGGTACTTACAGTATTTTAAAACACCAATCATTATCAAAGGCAATTAAAAATTAGCAGAGGGAAAACTAGATTATTTGGACCTCCTGAAATTTAAATCTTTGTGTGTACCGAAAGAGTTCTCCAAAAGAATAAAAAGAGAACCTACAAACTGGGAACCAAGATTTGGCAATGACTCAGCTAACAAAGGACTAATCTCTAAAATGTACAGAAAACTCTAGCACCTCAGCAAGGAAAGACAAACCAGCCTGTTGGAAAATGGACAGGGGATGCAAAGGATTCTTCAGCAGAGAACACATTCACATGGCCAACAAACATGTGAAAATGTACATTTCAAACTCATTGCTGTCAAGTCGCTTCTGAAGCATAGCTGACCTTCATCAGGTTTCCCAGGAAGCAGTCCTCAGAACATAGCAGGGAAAGACTGCATGGTTCAAAAGCAGGAAGTGATGTGTCACATCTCCATCCCTTTTCAATCTGTATGCAGAGCAGATCATTCAAGAGGCTGGGATGTATGAGGAGGAATGTGACATCAGGATTGGAGGAAGACTCATCAACAACCTACTTTATGCAGGTGATACAATCTTGCTTGCAGAAACTTAGGTGGACCTGAAGCACTTGCTGCAGAAGGTCAAGGACTATAATCTTGCATATGGATTGAAGCTCAACATCAAGAAGACAAAGGTTTTCACCACTGGGACAACTGGCAGCACCATGATGGATGGAGAGGAGATTGAGGTTGTTAACATTTACAGCTTGTTTGACTCCACAATCAACATTCAACATTTTAAGACCAGCACAGAATCAACAATCAACATTTTAACACCAGCAGTCAGGAAATCAAAAGACGAATTGCATTATAGATAAATCTGCTATCAGGGAACTTTCCATAGTACTGAGAAGCAGCGATGTCAGTCTAGAGACTAAAATGCACCTGATCCAGTCCATGGTCTTCACAGTTACTTGCTATACATCAGAGAGCTGGACAGTGACTAAGGATGACAGAAGAAGAATCGATGCTTTTGAGTTGTGTACGGTGCTAGAGAAGAGTCTTGAACATACCATGTTGTTGTTGTTATGTGCCATCGAGTTGCTTGCGACTCATAGCGACCCTATGTACAACAGCCCTAAACTCTGCTCTGTCCTGTGCCAATCGCAC